GTAGTCAACCAAATTCTTCCTCCATCTGCCTCTGACTGCAAGTTCTGTGCAATGAAGAGAAAGGTAAAATAGTCCACCATCTTTTTTTTTTTGTGAGGAGCATGATTTTCGAAGCTTCAAAATAAAGTAGAAGTTATTTTCCAAACATTTTTGAATGCATTACTTTTTTCTTATCATATAAATAGAAGTTATTTATTTCTGACTTTGACCAATAATATAAATTACCTATATCAAAACATAACTACATATGTTGGTAAAAATTTTATGCGTAGCCAAACATGCTCTTAAAGCTATTCAGGAGTAGTAAAATGAAGTCTACTATCATGTATCAATGAAGGAATCTGGAAATGAGTTATGGCCGTGGTCATTCTGAAGCTGCATTTGATTCAGATCGTTAAATGTTGCATACTTGTTTGTAAATAATAGTAGTGGAAATTCCTCTTTTATGTTGTAAGCATGTTGTCTAGGCTAAATAAAATTCTTCGTTAGTCAAGTATTTCTTGAGTCACTCTACAAAATGAATAAAAATGACAATAACCTGTCCTCATTGTAAATATTTAAAGTGCATGAAAAGCTCCAAATGGTTTGGCCTACCAACCGATCTAGAATGACATACTTTCACGAGGATGTAGTCTCTCACTTTTGGATATGCAGCTTCGAGTATTTTCAATTTTGACTAACAAAAATGGTTTTCGTTTTAAAACTTATTAACAAGAGTATAAATAATTGTTATCCACTATATATTAAGCCTATGTTTGGCTCATGTTTATACACTATTTGTAAATACTCAAGCCACTTTTTATCCACACATTCAATAGACCCACAAGTAATACCTACTTATTTACTACTCATTTCTATCACATTATAATTTAAACTGTTTTGCAATACTTCCCAAACATGCTCTGACTGTTTTACAGTTTTTGCGTCCTTTTTCCCTTGACTCTGAGATTGTGAGCAAAACTCATTTATCTGCCAACATTTTTTAAATCTTTGGGAGGATAGAGTGATGTTTGTTGTTAAAGTTTTAATTTTGTGTCTGTAGGAAGTAGCTGTGATCCTTGATAAACTAACTCCTCTCTCCACCACAAATGTGGGGAACTTGGAGTGCACTTCTGTTGGATTTTTTAGATACTCTTATTCTGAGTAAAAGTAATTGAACAATTTATAGGCATGTATTTATCCAAGCAACGAAGTTGAGACCTACCTAGACTTCCAGTATTTATTATTATCATAATTTTATTGGCTGTCTGCTTTTTACAGGATCAAACGCGTGCTATAAGCATGATCAACAGTGATCCAGAGCTCTCCAGCTTGACAATGATCCAGGCAGCTCTCGTTGATGTAGAAATCAGGGGCGTTCCTGCTCTTCAGTTCTTAGGGGACATTGTTTGGAAGTGAGGACTGGCTCGTGGTATAAGTGACTCAGGTAACATCTTTATGTTCGTTATATTTCTTTTCTTTTCTATGACCCGGGATTATATTAGGATTGAATCACCTTGAAAAAAAGTCATGCACGACGATATTCTATTGCTTCTCCTCTGCATAAATCGTATTATGCTGGCATTAATTTTTTCCCATGGTTCACTCTTTCCTTCCCTCTTGTTATTTATGCTCAAGCATCTCTTATTTATTGCTTATGGTTATGTATTAATTAAATAAGTGCATACATGGGTAGCTTGAAAATTTCGAGTTGGAAGTATTCTAAAATATATATTTTATGCTGATAAAAGTTTGTAATTGGTAGGTTACAAATTTCAAAAATAACCCAACTGTCAAAACAAATCATTTTTCTAACTAAATGAAAATCAACCGTATTTCAGAACAAAATTTGAAAGTTTAAATTACTTTTAAACTTTGCCTAACATGCTCTAAACCGCGAAAATAAATTTCTTACCTGCTTTTTCTTGCCTTTTCTATATTTTTTCTGCTGCTAATATGAGAAATTAAACGCGAATACGTAATACCTTGTAAAGCTGAAACCGATGATCAATTTGATGAAGAGTTGCTATAATCCTCACTTATTAGGGTCTGAATCGTCTACAGAAAATCATGTTTCGTATATAACATGCAATTACTGAAGCTGCAATCTTTTCATTTTCGTGCATTTTTCTTTGTTTCTTGATGCAAATTAGTACTGAGGTGAATTTTCAGAATTTGCCATCTTTGAATGGACTAAAACAGGTTTTGTGCACACTTGTGGACATTGCACAACCCTCAACTGCATTTATCATACGAGTTTTTAAATTTTGTCATCTTAACAGGATAAAAATGTTCGTGAATGGCCTTAAGCTTAAGCACACCTACATCTTGTCGTCTTTACTGAGATTGCAGAAACATACAGCCTGAGCAGGCGTTGTTGAAAACCAGGAAAGATGAAAATATAGTTCAACTGCATTTCTTGAAGGAAGCGATATATTTCAATAAGGAAAACAGAGTATGGCCATGCACTTGTATTTTGTACTGATTGAAGTTTCACGTGTCGTTAAATTTTACACTTTCCATTTCTTGAATTGCTAACAAGCAGATTGGGGATATCAATATGCTTAAGCCTCTATTTGGGCTCGATTATTAGTGACTTTTTATGATGAAGAGTGGTGGGGGTCACGGGATCACGAAATATATTAATAATATTGAGCTGTAGTGTTGAATGTGCGGTTGAATTAGAGTTTGATTTTGACTGGATAGTTGAAGTCACTGAAAATGTTTCCCATGATAGGCTAAATTTTAGCGATCTTTAAATTCTTGATCATTTTGCTATCCTAGTGCTACTGCCCTGTAATGGGGTAAAATATGCGACTTTTTATGGCAACACATAAGTTTTTATGTTACACGAGCTGTGTAGAACGCTGAAGATTAGCCTCAGGTGATAGTATAATTGAAACTTTAAATATTCATATTGGTTCTCTTGGAGAACAATATTCAATCACTCTCTTTGGTTTCATTCAACGAGAAAATGTAATTCGGCCGCTCAATATAGCATGTCTCAAAACGAAAATAAGTATTTTTTCTTGTACGAAGTTGAAACTGCTTGTAATTCTTTCGAGTATCAGCCGAACTTTTAAACTTGGTTGGGATTATTTCCCGTTTGTACATATTTCATTACTGGATGAATGATTTACCCTCAGTTTGAGTCCCATCTTTTATGAACTCATTTTTAATCATATATTCTCTCAACAAAATTTTTAGCCGCACATTTACCAAAAAATTACTATTTTAAAAATTATTTTTCCATAAAATGAAGCTCAAGCACGTTTAATGAGTACAGGTATTCATTTTATTCCAAGCACCGATGACTTGTTCTATGGTTCATTGGCGGATATCAAATTTAAATGTTGAAATCCACCATAAAATTATGTCACGTGTTTAATATAAGATGGACGTCAAACGAATAACATTATTCTTCTCAACGCCCACGAATACCTCTTAACAAAACTAATCCATCTCTTTGTAAGGCCATTTCAGTTTTGGGTTTGTTATCAAATGTCTTGCTCAGATAGGGTGTACTTAGGGGCGCAACGGCAGTGGTACCGACTCCACCACTGGCTGATTGATGTTCAGAAGCGGCGGAGCTTCAACACATTCCATTTTTTTCGTCTCTTCCAATTATGTACCTTACCATCACACATGGTGGTTTACAATTATTCTTATCAATTTAAGCATTGAAAAAGAAAATGGGCCTTTCTTAATTTTAATTGGCTGGAGAACTTAATTGATCGACTCCAACGACCTCAAGGGGTGTTATTACTGGAGTCAAATACAAAATAATTTTAATTTTTTTAATAATAGTTTCAGAAAAGAAATATTAAGCCCTAATTTTATTTTTTTTCAAAATCATTTTTCCTTAAACTCATTTTCAACCACAACTCTCCCAATAAAATAATTTTGAAAATAAATCCATATCTTTTCCCTACTTTTTAACCATGCATTTTTCAAAAAAATAAAAATCAAACAAGAACTAAATATAAATTTGCAATTGGTAACAACCAACCTTCTATTTTAGTACAACACTCACTGATAAGAAAGATTTGAAATTGACCAAAATGAATTTACCAATCTTCATTAAGTGCAAGAAATAAAGCCGAAATGTAAACACGTCAAAGTTGTTGAAGATCACTAGAACTGCAGAAATACCTAGTACCGGTCGAAGGAAGAAGGTCGTCCTTGCCTAGGGCGGTCATAAGGACCTGCTTTGTCCCTATAGTTTCTTCTTCCATAAGGTGCAGGCCCTCCACCTCCATACCTGTCGCTGCTACCTCTGCCGCCTCTATTTTTGCCATTACCATTGGGATAACGATCATACTGATCTAATACAAATCGGTCTCTAGCTGGAGGATGCCTGCTTATAAATGAATTACATCATCACTCAAGTTTTTAAGCATGTTTTTTATCTAAGATCAAGTAAATTTGCTTATAAGTAAATAAATGCCTAGGACTTAAAATCGAGTAATTCTTCTACTAGTCAACGTTGGAAATGAGTTGGTAAAATTAACTTCAATATAGAACCACTTTTTTTTAGCTTAGCCATGCCCTTCTTTGACTATTAAATCATCTCCGCAAATTATCTTTTCCTTTTAGGTAAATGGGGAAGTGCCACGAGAAAATCACGTCTACTATAATATCAATCTAATCTATAAATACCTGTCATTAACATATCGATCTTCGTACCGATCGTTATCACCATAACTACCTCTCTCATATCTATTGTCCACATATCTGTCACGATCAACTTTATAGCGATCCCCACGACTAACAGCCCCACCATACCTAGAAAGTGGAGGAGAGAATGGACGACCACCTCTGCCACCGCTTGCCGATGGACAATCTCTGGCCCAATGACCTGGTCGACCACATTTGAAGCAATCGTCCTGCCCTGATGAACGATCTCCACCATAACTGCTCCTTCCCCTACCCCTGCCCCCTGAAGAATAACCTCCATAGCCATGTTCCAGATCTTCATCTCCTGATTTAGGCTGGGCCTTGTTCACTGAGATGACCCGGTCACCAAACTCCCTACCATGCATATCCCTTATCGCATCTTCCATTGCCCGGCGGTCTGCAAAGGACAAAAATCCAAATCCACGAGGACGGCCTGAGTCTCTTTCCAGCATAATCTACATGAACATTACAGTTGAGAACCTTAAAACCACTAATGATATCCCATGCAACAAAATGAGTTCAATATTTTGAAAACGCGACTAGCATATACAAAATCCAGAGTCTATAGAATTTAAGCTACTAGGAAATGAATACCATGAGAAGTGTCAATGCATGCATGGCTTTTACCTTTCTACCAATTAATATCTAGGAAGGGCCACAAACCAAACTTCAAATTGTCTAATTTATTTTATATTTTACATAAAAATAGCTGTAAATATCTAATGAAAAACTTCAATAATGATATGAAATTAACTTACTAAATTCAACCTTTAGGAGTAAACATCATTTCTCCATTTCAAATCAAACGATGACAGGCTAATGAAGGTGATCTAGCCTCACCAATCATGGTATTTCATGAGAAATGCCAATTTACCAATGTTAATGACAATGCACTCAGAACTGTTGAAGCAAAAAACTGCTGTGCATGCTAAGCGGTTCAATGCCCATGCATGTCATCAAGCACAGCACACCATATAAGTTGCGAATTCCTAGCCAGAGGTACCAAAATATAGCTAAAACCAAAGTGAGCAACCAAGACACCCCAACACAACCAAACCCTTTTAGGAAACCCTTAAGGAAACGATAACAATGTCATACTAGAAGAATAGGAGTAGAAGTAGACAAGAAGACTAATGATAAGTTGCACAAGTAGGATAGTAAAAAAAAAAGAAAAAACTACCACCACATTTGCAATAAGTTACACTAACCACAGTTTATTTGAGTCTCTGTACTCCACATGTAATTCTATAATAATAAGCTAAGTATTCAACATTTCAAAAGACTTGCATGAGTAGGATGCAGCAGACAAGCAACTAATATGAGTCTAAAAGATAATAAGGAAAAAATGACTGGATGAATTCAGTCATTTGGCTATTGGTTTAATTGAGAACAGAAAAAGCTGAAAGCATGATTGATTATCGTTGAACAAGTTCCATGTAGTAATAATATAAGGAAGATAACATGTTCAATGGCAAAGAACTCTTACATGAGCAGAAGAGTTCTGAACACCTGCAGATTTCCATCATCAGACATTTTAAATTTTACTCAGGCCTCAAATTCCACAGAACTGAACATATTACACAACCACACAGATAGGTTCCTAACTTACTGGAAAAGTTCTAACAGTGGCCACTTGACCTGAGTTCCATGTTTGTACTTCTTTCAAATTACTTAAGAATCGTGCTGCAAACCACTATATTTGAGCAACAGTAGATACCAGAAAACACACATCAAATGTTACATGATCCAACATGCAGCCACAAAAAGTCACCAAGATTATCCAAGACAAACTTGCATATTAAAAGTCTTCATGTATCCAAAGCGATGAATTTGCGGCACCAGCTATTAGTATGATAACTCGATTTGCATAATTGCACACAGCATAACAGCTTGGTCTCATTACCGACACCAGTATTTTATTGAATGTTAGACAAGAAAACACCATTCTTCAACCAGATAATCAACTTACAACAATCTACTCCAACTGGTTTTCAGGCTGTGCAAACCAGAGTGATTATTTGTACAACTTAAACTGTTCAACTGGAAGCAAGTTAAACATAATCACCAGCAGCAACAGGCACGTCTTGAAGTAAGGTGCTAACTTACATTGACCACTTCTTCATATACAAGCAACAAGCAGAATCATCCTAAAAGTCAAGAATATGGGATTTTCTTCTAAAGAATTCCACAACTGGAAGCATACGGATACCTCAAATCTAGTTTTCAACCGAAACAGGATAAGCATATGCACCAAAGAATTTCTTTTGTGCATTTCTTTCATACTGCCAGCCCAACAAGAGTTCAAAAGAAAGCTCAATAAAGAGGACTAGGCATAATGATTTCTAACATGTGTAGTGTGACGCGTGAAGTGCGGTCAAAATAGAATTCTGCTTCAACGCTGCTTGATCACCTGTCCAAAAGACTTTTTGCACTAAACCGGAAATGACCCCTGAACCTATTTGTAGATCAAGTATGAGGATATACATTCACAAATGACAGCTTCTGCCAAAACTGAACTGCATCATCTAATCTTGTTTAGAACAAAAGATCCTCCAAAAACTGAATTCTCAAAACAGTTGATTACAAATTCTGTGGGTCACATCTGGCATTGCTTTTAAATCTATGTACATATCTGAGCTAATACACAGCTCAGGACAAAGCAACTGCTGGAAGAGACTTCATAAACATCAGACATTTAAATTTTGAACAACGTAATAGATAACATTTAGAAACTGACTACAAACTAGACAGTGTGGTTGCATCCGAGTGCAGAGAATGTTCTCCGCTGCACTTACATCTTTAGACATAAAATCTCAACTCTATGGAATCAAGCATGGAGAACACGGAGATGTTTACCAAAAATCTTCAAAATGAAACTAATTCACGAAGCCCTGTGGTAGCCACCTTATGCCGCTATTGCCAGTAAAGTGATATAGTTCCAGTCAACAAATCATGATAACCCAACCTTGAAGACTTTGAGAAGTTATTAGAAAAAATAAGTTACTTTTAGAAAAATCCTAGGACACTATAAAGGGAGATGCATGTTGTGATTGCTCGAAGAGTTCAACCTTGTGCGAAGAATTTTTTTTCAAAACTACAGAAAAAACATGGCATGCTTGTATCAAATGACACAAATCTAAAATGAATAAGTGAAACATATCAATACAGAATCTTTCAAACAAACAACAGCTATGCTTAACCAGCAAAAGACTCAAGCATATCCCAGCTTAAACTGGATAACACACTTACATGAATGTTTATATAAAACTATATCAGAAACAACCAACCAAATGGAATTCAAGTAACACAAGCTACCAACGTGCTTCAGCAACTTGGCACATTCCAATGAAATAAAAAGCTCCTCCAAAGACCCAATCTTAAAGCATCTTAGAGATTATAGCAAATCCCACATCGAAGCTTCAGCTACTGTCTCCCCCCATGAAACTGAAAGACTCGGAACAGTTTCTGTACAAGTAAGATCACTTGAAAGAGTTCGATAACCAACAAGGAAGTTTGATGTAACTGCAGATGGGACCAACCGAAGAAATATTCTTAGTCGACGCAGGACATGGGACCCCAGAATTTGTATGCAAGATGACCACTCTCTCTCATGTAAGAAGGTTGCACAAGGAATTATCATGCCAGGCTACAGATATCATCAATCAAACTGATTGGACATGTGCTAGCAAGAGTAAGTATGACAACAATAGTTCGACCCTGTCTTCCACTCTCAAAAGTACAACTGCTTTCCCTTATACTATCATGAACAACCATTAGTTGAGCACAACAAGAATTCTTTAATTAAGCTAGAGCCTGAGTTCACTGAAGGCAATTCTTTCTCCGCCTTTACCAATCATCTTACTACACAGATCCGCTTAATCCGTTCAACGACTCATCTTATGATCCCGCGTCCAGGCAATAGAAAAAATGCATCATAACCAACATAAAAGAACAAATGAGGTTAATATGATGATGAAGAAGAAAATAAGAACAATAAAAAATCAATTCACAAATTCTTCATAAATTTTGCAGCACAAGATTAAAACTTACAATACTATACTCATATTTCGCATTATAGCATAATCAAATGGAAACATAAAATAATCAAGACATACTGCAGCATATTTTCAGTGTTTTATTGCTGTGAAAAGGTATAGATAAATTCAACATTTTCATTTCATTAATCTACTAAGCCCAATACCCACCAAAATTAATGAACAGAACCAGAACAAAGAACCCCTTCGGCCTTCAGTGACTTGTATGAACCACATATTCCAAGATATTCATCCATATCAGTAAACATCTTTCTCTGATAACAAAAGTCTATATAAATTTAATGCCCATTAGATAGAATTTTCTCAGACTTCTCCCATATGTCCTTTCATCAAAAATTTATCTTTGACTCTCCCACCCGTTTGATTGAAAACGCAAGTTTCTTTCAAAACACACTTCGTCTCCTTAAGAAGATTTAAGAAGTGACTTACTATATCAATACTTTCCTTCATTCTCACGTCATAAACAACTCAAATTGACTTTAACTCTACCAATAGAAGTTCAACACCAATAAATTCAACGGAATGACCATTGAGCTTCTATTGTCAAACAAGTATAATAGTTCAACAGAGGATTAACCAGTGGAAAAACTTCGAAATCGGACAAATTAATTATAACTCATTCAGAGAACTCAATTCCACTATGTTTGCCCGGCAAAAATGTATTGAACAAATTCACATGCGGATAATTTTCTAAGGAAATCGAGGGATGATTTCGAGGGTAACACAAGAAATTCGAACCTGGGAGTCGATAATTTTGCCGAAACGACTAAAAGCATCTTCCAGCTCACGTTCAGTGATGTCCCGCGATAAACCTCCCACAAATATACGGTTGTCTTGCTCCTTCCCTGCCATCTCTGTCTCTCTGTCTTTTTTCAAAACCCTAATCCAACACGAACCAAAAAAAAAAAAAAACTAATCAAAGTTAAACCCTATGAATTAGATATTCTGTTCGTGTGAAAGAATTAGGGTTTCTGTGGGCAGAGGATACCAAAAGGTGAGTGTGAGATTTGCGAAGATTCCAATCGGGAGTTTGGGCAAGTTCATAGAGTTACTTTTAGCACCCGTTCGATTTGGATAAAAATCGGGTTGCCCCGGTACTAATTAAAACCTATTATTTAAATAAAAAATTAGTTTTAACCATATATTTATGTATTTCACAATTTTTCAATCACATATTTTGTCAATTTCTATCAAAATCTAACTAAAAATCTTATTTTAATCATCACCAAACACCCATGACAATATGCCTATGTTTAGTTCCTATTTTTTCAAAAACTCATTTTCAACCATACATTCTTTTATAAAGTGATTTTGCACATAAATCGAAATTTCTTTTTATTTTTTAATCACACATTTTTCAAAAAATCATTATTTTATAATACATTCTCTTGCAAAAATAGGGCTCAAACAAGGGCATAGCTTTTTTACCTAATCCTGTTTTGGCCCATTATAATGAGAACTTGAGAATAATATATTTTGAAATAATAATTTTTTGGAATTTTTAAGTTTATATTATTTTATTAGCAATCACGCTGCAATGACGTAATGGTTGGTGTAATCCTTAACATAATATCATATGACATCCTATCATTGAACAGTTTAAAATATAGTCAACTTTTTCATTTACTGATTTACTGTCGCAAACACATCTGTCAACCTCTTTATCATTTTTCTTCTGTCAACACAGATTAATCCTTTTATTAAATATTGGAGAATGTGTGGTTAATAAAAAAGAAAGAAAAAAATGAATTATAATTTTAATGAGGACGAAGCTGGAACTTACTATCACCATGATCATTCAAATTTCTTTTGATTCATCATCACCATTTTACTTTATACTTAAGGTCATCGTAACCGTCCAAATTATTTTTAATTCATTATGATCGTCTAACTTCATATAACATTTTAGTCAAATCACCTGATTATTAGTACATAAAAATGATGAAATTCATAAACAAAAATAAAAAAACACACAACATGAAAATTAGTACAAAACTTTAAAAAGATTATATGAAAGCAGAAACCTATTTATTTATTTTTTCTTTTTTAGTTTCTGCTAGCACACAAAATATGCAACTAATCACGCACCCTAGAACATACACATAGAATAAAAAAATAAAATTTATTAACTTAATGAGGAAAAGTTATATACATAGAAAATATAAGAAAAAATCACTAACCCAAATTAAAAAATTTAGAATATGCATCAAACTCAAATAAAGAAAAAATTTGTTTTCGCTTTCATATAATTTTTTAAAATTTTTATAATGATTACTGTGTGTTATTCTTTCTTCTTCTTTTTTTTAATATCGTTTTCCTTTCTATTATGATAATAATTATGCGTGATTTTTTTCAATGTGTGTGTTTAACCGGTTGATGTTGTTTGAAATGGTATATGAGTTAGGTGGATTAAAATCAATTTGAGTGGCCACATTAAGAGATTGTTTGGGAGAAATTTAAATCAAAATCAAACAATCAATATTAACTACATTTTTCATGGGTCTCTCAACTTTCTATTAAAAAGCTAATTTTAATCCCAAGCAAACAGGCAAACACCCTCTAAAATAGATTTAAATAAAAATTAATTAAATTTTGCATATTTAAAAAGGAGGGATTGAGAAAAAACTTTTGAATACCTATTTTACTCTGATATATTTAGTTATTTGTCCAATATATCTTCACCGATTTTGTATAATTCTCCATTCATTCTTCAATTAGTATTATAATTTTAATAGTTATATAAATTACTAACGGGTATAATTGAATTACTATTATTAATTTCATTTCCCTTTCATGTGGAGAAACGATCATTTTCAAGGCACAATAAGTTGATAAAATTTTTTATCTTCCATAATATATTCAAGATGTTGACCTCGAAAATTGGACATTTCACGTGGCCAATCGAGAGCTACTCCACGTATTCTTCTCTGTGCACAATCAGCGAACGGTCAGATGCACACGGCCGGGACCAACAGGGGTGGTGGCGGCCGTATACACTCCGATGGTCAAGTCAAGTTTGGGTGGTCGGAACAGTACTCAGGGGTTGTACAAAATAATGATAAGGGGGAGGAGAAAATATATAAGCTTGATATGGAGTGCTGTGTAGTAAGAATTTCATTATCTTTGCTTCTTGCAAAATTTTGGGTATTTATAGGTGGGAAGAGCAGTTGGATGTGTGACACGTGTATACATCTGACGGTAAGAGGCGTTCGCTCATAGACGTCAATCAGTCGCGTCTGTAGAGTGGACAGACAGCTTGTTTCCTCTGAGTTGAATTGACATAAAGTTGATAAATCACATCAACTAACATCATAGAGACGTCAAATCAATTTAAATCTTAGGTGTAGGGAGGATCTTGACACAAATCTCTTTCTGAAATTGGCGACGAATCTTCTAACAGGGGTCCACTTGGCCTCGGCCTCGGGGGTGAGGTGCTTCGATCAGGTCAATAGTAGGGATCGCCTGTATTTCGCAGTGTGCTACCAGGTTGTGGACATTGGTGATATCACTTCGAAAACACTTCGGACGGGTCTCTATCAGATCTGAATATATGGTGGTGGGCGTTCCGAAGCGGTTCAGATAGGGGCGTAACATAAAGCATAAATAAAAATATGATATTAAACTCTTTTTTCAACTCTATTTTTGCATAATTTTTACAAACAATAAACTTACCCTTAAAATTTTTTTGAACGAAAGGATTGAGAATAAACTTTTGAATACCGACTTTACCCTTATATTTAGCTATATGTCCAATATACCTTCACTGATTTCGTATAATTTTCGACTCATCCTTCAATTAATACTAGTAGTAAGAACATGCGTTGCACGTCTTATGTATCGATTAATGATATATGTACTATATTTGAATTACTAATACCATTTTAAAATTATGTATATAATGTGAAATGTTGAATAAACTAAAATGTAATGACTCAATTCATATATTAAAGCAACATTTAGCACATTTGCTACTTCATTAATTTATTAATGCAACATTCAATTTTGTAACCTCAATTAAATAATAATCTAATGAATGGATTTTAATGTAAATCATGATGATCAATAAGGGCTTTGTTGATAAAAAATAAAAGCTCAATAGATGAATTATAATGTAAATCATGAATATTAATAAGGGTTTTGTTAATGAAAAATAAAAAATTGCTTTGTTGATGGAAAATAAAAATTGTAAGAACAAAATACTCAATTGAATGATAAGTCATTAAATTTTCGTTGATTTAATTTTTTATTTTTAATAATTGAATGTCAGTTTCTCTCCTTATATTAATTCCTACCCAAATGATAAATATTAATTAAATATTTCACCACTTATATTAATTATAAATCAAATGATAAATATTAATTAAATTGGTAATAAGAGCTTTGTTGATGAAAATTAAAAATTGTAAAGAGAAAAATCAATTGAATGTTAGTCATTAAATTTCCGTGTGTAATTTCTTTTCTATTCATTGAATGTCCTCATTAATTTATTAATGCAACCTTTAAAATATTTATAACATCAATTCAATAATAACTTAATGAATGAACTACAATGTAAAGCATGGAGATTAAAAATTGCTCTGTTGATGAAAAATAAAAACTCATTGCATGAATTTTAATATAAATCATGAAGATTAATAAGGATTTTGTTGATGAAAAATAAAAATTGATTCGTTGGTGGAAAATGATAAATACTAATTAAATTGGTATTCCAATTATAACGGTATAATGGGCATATAGTTAAATATGTAGGGATAAATTTGGTATTTAAAAGTTTCTCCACCATCTCCACTTTTAATATATTGTAGATTATAGTTTTAATTGTTATGTAAACTACTATTCGATATTATTGGATTCCTATTATTAATTTCATTTTCATATAAAAAAATAATTATTTTTCAAGGCACGATAAGTTGATAAATCTTTTTATGTTCCATCATACGCCAAAGCATAAATAAAGTACGAGACTTATTTCTTTTCCTAACTATATTTCTACAAACTTTGAGCCTGCCCTTAGTTTTTTCCCCAGCAATTAGAAGATAACGTGGCCTAAAAATGCTCAATGGATAATACTCTGGTAGAGAATTGATGGTGGATATAAAATTATCTAGCAGAAAACCTGAGGAACTTATGCAATTGGCTAGCAACTTTTTCAAATTTTCTCATGGTTTTAAACAATTGTTTTTGCTCCATTTAAATGGTGGAGGTGAAGAATATTTAGAGACGTGATCTGTCGTAATTATGCCGAATTTTATACACGTAAAAAGGTTAGTTATTTAAATATAATTTATACACGTCAATTTTTTTAATTACTATTTAAATGTCAAAGAGAAATGTTTTTGTTCACTATTTATGATGTAAGATAGCGAACCATTGAGCATATGTTACGTTGGAACTCACAAGTGTACATGATCGTTGTACAAGTAGTGGAGATAGTGAGTTTTTAGATTATTGTTTTCACGAGAAATAAGGTTTAAAATATAGTTCAACAATTATTATTAAGTTCAAGTAAGTGGTGAGAGTAAAAGAGAGATTTTATAGTTGTTTATACTACTTCTAATATATACTAATAAAGCAAAAAAAAATTTGGTTTTATCGAATGTAAATGCTTGCATTGAATTCGTGATTCCCCCTATTTTCATCTATTTCAATTATCAATTAACAATCTAGTTAATTTCATGTATTTTCGACCACCGATAACGCTAATATGTTAAATGTTCTTTCCAAGATATACCAACCTATGATCAGCACTACCTGATTTTTATTTCTAATCCAAATGCATATGAAAATCATGCATTTAGTTTAAGCTATCTACATGATTGCACATGCTAGAGATATTATTTCTAATACATATTTCACATATGTTGATTTTATCACGTTCTAAACTTCTTTTGGGTATTCATACACTACAACAAATAACTAACTATTTAATTGATGCCCAAACAATTAAATATTCAATGGGAATGCAAAATAAATCAAGAAATATCTAAATTAAAATTTTAAATTGAAATAAACGATAATAGGGTTCCTTAATAATCCAACACAATTGCAAAACTAGTCTAATATGTTTAG